ACAATCGATCGTGGTAGGGGAAACAGACAATTGGTCCTATTAACGCACCTGAACGATAATAATAATAATAACACGCAAATGAGATTTAATGACGGGGATGGAGATATTTCGTACTTTACACGGTATCGTAATAATAATATTTTTATTTCACATGGTATAACGGATGCACGCCGGGAGTCGTCGGATCCACCCGTCGAAATGGTCTGATTGTGATCCAGTAGACGTTATATTAGAGAGTTTCATTGCAGGGTGAGGGTGCGGGATATCGTCGTAGCTGCCTGGCCGTTGAGTGTTTCAGGGAATGCAGTTCGCATCTCGTAGACGATGATCGAGACACATTCAAAGGGGGGAGTGGAGGGGTGGCATGTGCAAATGGACACGGGTGTACGTATTTTCATACACACACACACACACACACCGTCAGTGGCGTATACATAACTTTTGTATGGGGGGGGGGGATCTTTGCAAAAAAATCGTTATTTATATTTTATCATTATTTTCTTACGTTTCTAACGCCCTCGCACTAAGAACATTATTTCGTAACATTTAAAAAAGGCCTAGGTGGGATCTGACCCCCAAATCCCGCGCATTTCCGTAACCAGTTAGAGATAATTGTAGTCTCTTCGGGTATCCGGCCAAAATAGCGAAATAATAACTGTGAATGTAAAAATTGCGAATTAAAAATGCCGAAAATATACGATTAAGCATTTAGTGAGAATAATTTTGAAAAAACAATTAGGCATTTAGTAAAAAATGATATGCTATACCATTTACAAAATTCTTATTATCATTAGTATTATGATTTGTAACTAACGAATGAAGTCTTTTAGCACAGTCCTCGAACTTTTTTATCTCTGGTTGTTCTCCAGCGTTATACTGTTCTCGCTTTAATTCTTCTAAATTTCGAATTTTTATTACATCAATAAATTATTAGGGTGACTTCCTGCTAAAGAATATTTATTATATTATTAAAAATACTAATTATTAATGAATTATGTTACAGTTTTATGGTTTTTGTAAGTTTTGAAACTTATCTTAGTGCCGTATTGAAATATGTATAGTGTTCAAAATAGAAATCATAAAAAACAGCAGTTTCACTGTTATGCATGATCGCTTATTTTAGAATTCGCGATTTTTATACTCACGACAGTGTTGCACACAGGGAGGGTCAGGGGTGACGACTGACACCCCTCAAAGAATTGGTGAATGACTTTTTCTATGTGAACTTATATGAATATTTGTTTAATTCAATACTAACCAATTTTTCAGCTATCCAAATCAACTTACTAATTCTGTTTACCCTAAAACTAAAGCGTCACATGAGAATAAGTAGTAGGCTCAATCCCAAAAATTATGCTATACGAACTTATAAATTAATACCTAGAAAAATGAAAAATAATTAATATTAGGTTTTTTTAAAAAATTATATTTTTAGTATCTTTGTTAGTAAGAAAAAGCCAACAAAAAGTTTATTATTGTTCATTGTTCGAGGTTCTAATCATATTAATAGTGTTGATTAGAATATCATATATATAAATATAAATATATTATACATAATATATTTAGATTTCCGATAATTCGTTCGCGACGCAAGTGATTATCTAACGGCGAGCTAGATAAGCGTTGAGCACTCGCATACGCATGCATCAACGAATTTATTTCATGGCGTAATGTTGTAAATCATAGACCTAAACGAATTCCAACATACCGACTTGAGTTTTACATTGATAATAATTTTGAAAACAAATTTTGTTTTTTTGTTCTATCGACTTTGGATCCTTTGAGCCACATTTTTAATTTATTATTCTTAAAATGAAAAAACCTCACTTGAAATTTAGAAAAAAATTTTGTGTTCTTATAAATTTAAATGGACATAAATAGTTTTAAAAATTTATTTTTATTTTTCTGATTTGAAGGATTCAAAATAGATTTCATAATAAATTCAAATATGTTTTCAAAATTATTATAGGAGTAAAATTCAACTTAGTACGTTGGAACGCGTATAGGTCTCTTTTACTCTAAAAAGCGGTAGTGTAGAATTAAGTTGTTTATCAATATAAACATACTTCAATTTCCCATGTATTTTGCTACCTACATAATTATTGAATAATTTTAAATAAATAAATTCAACTTAATTTAAAATTTGTTAACTAATATTTTCTTTAACTTTAGGTATTTCTTATTACCTTTTTTTAAAAAATAATTTTATAACATAATATGAAATATATCATAATTATAATTTCACTTGGTAGATTATACAATTTGTAAAAAAAAATATTATATTATTTTAATTTTATTATTTCAAATGTAATGAATTAATAATATTTTAGTATTATCATTACATTTTTACTACCTGGGGCATATTATATGTTAAATAACCATTTAACTCTATACAATCATCGGTAAAATATGTTACTGTATGGACTACAGCCTTGGAGCCTTGGAGATATTAAGACGAGCATTCAGCCCGCTTGCTTTGTGTAGATGACCGAAGAAGCTTCTTCCGATAAGTTCTTGATTTGAATTTTGATTGTTGGAATTTTTTAAGTCTGTATGTAGTGCTTCATTTCCAATAAACCAAACCATAAGCATTGAGCATTTGAGATCATACGTAGAATTTTGGATTGTATGACTTGTATTTCGTACGAATTGTCGATGATTTAAACGTTAGCGTCTCTATTCACTGCCGACGTTGGACAATGATAAATTTGATTATTCATACGATTCGTTTCGGATGTTCAAAAATATCAATAAATATTAATAATATGCTAAGGAAAAAAATAACAAAATATCTTAAAATATTTGAATGCATAAGAAGCCTGAATTAATAAGCGACTCTGCAACGACTACGGAAACGAAGAGGGAGTAGATGGAACATGACAACGATTTATTATTGATACCGATGAACACCAAAATCGAACCGTCGAACATACTTGTTATTCATGACGACGAGATTAGCTACCCTGAAAAACGTTTGATATGATAATTTCTATTTTCATAATGTACAGGGTCCGACAAAAAGACCTCCACTACGAAAACAAAAACCAACCGAAATACGGATGAAATACGTGACGAGAACTCGGAGATTTCGCGTTCGATCTGCAATACAAATTCGTCGGATGGAGAAAACTGTGACTTTTTTTTTTGTCAAACTTTTGCACACCTAGACCCATGTGATGGCAGGTTGAGTATTATTTTTTACTGACGTGCAAGCGTTGACTACAGACTATTAACGATATCGTACATATGTTTCACCAAATTTAGAATCCGTTGAACTTGGAATCGACGCCAGGCAAACCGATCAACTTAAATGTTGCTGATATTTCTGACTTAAGAGATCGTATATTAAACGTCGAGTAATATAAAAATATCGCTACGTCGTTCATTAACGTAGTTCTCAACTATGGATTTCGCGAAAACATACCAGGTTCTCCGTGTGGCCATCGTAGTTTGAAACTTTTGTATGTCCTTCTTCCGTGCTAACATCGAGTATCGTAAGCCACACATCCTCGGTATACGGAACAAAACATAAAAAAAAAATAAAATAAAATTGCTCGACTTTACGGAGTACTCAGATTTTTGAATTAATCCGTGTCAGTTATGTCCATCGGTTTTTTTCTTCAGTTTTTTTTTATATACCATCCTGCAGTAAATAATTTATATCGATGTTCCATTACGCTCCGATATAAATAGGCATCTTCTGGAAGTTATTAATCTTCTATTCAACATCCCCAAACAATCTCCTAGTCGATATGTATAGCAAATAAAGATGTACAATTCGTATATGCATATAAAAAAAAAACCCCATTTTACGGGTAGTAAGAATATTTTCGCCTTTTGGTTGAAGCACTGTTCGACTAACTATTACTGGAAATGTTATAAACTTTTTCTAAAGATAAATTGTATTAAACAACTATTAAGAAAACCTATTCAAAATGTTGTTATTATTTTTCTATAACTACTATTATTTCGCCAACTTAAACATAACGGCATCAATATAATATCCATACTTGGTTTGACATTCAATTTGTTCGATTATATTTGAGTTGTTATTTACGAAACTCTTTGCCTTTATTAAGTTATTTAACAAAACAAAATAATAAACGCGTTGTATTTCAACTTTATGTAAGCATACCCCACTATATTAAAATTTTTTCGATACATATTATTAGTATTATTATTATCATTAGATATGCTTTATGAAATTTATCTGTACTCGATGAATAACATCATTACTGTTTGATTCATTACAGAATAAAAAATACTCACATCATATGTTTTGGCATATTTTTCTTTTACACCTACTATAATATTTGTACAATTTCACTAATAAAATAATTTATTTTACGAACACCATCGCATACGAATAATAAATGTTCAAAGTTAATTATTTTTTTTATTTACTATACACATAAAAATCGCAATGTTATTTAAAAAACATTGTTGTACGTCGCTTTTCAGTAATCGTATAAGATTTAAAGACTAGGGTAGGTTTGTATTCAAATTTTTCTTGTATGGATACTCGATTTATATTTATCAAACCATTCATTTTCAAACATATTCATTATGCGGCCTCATAAATGTTATGTCAGAATAACGAAAGCACTCTAGGATCTAAGGCCTTTAATTTTATGACCTTTTTTCTACATTATTTATCGATTTCGTAAACCATAGCGAAAAAAAGAAAAATATTTACAAACATTTCTCTAGTCATATTACTCATTCGGCGCACAGTTTGAGAAACACTACTACATCACGGCCATCAGTAGAATAATGAAAAAACTTTTCATTTGACACGTACATTTTATGTGAGTCGTAAAAAATTATTTTTATCGCCTACTGCAACCCCGCACGGGAACCGAGTATAATAGAAATATGTAATATCCGTACTGTGAGTGGTACAAGATAAATCGCATAGACCTAGACCACGCGAGAACGCGATCCACTATTTAATTATTTTATAATATTTATTCATTTTTTTTTTTTTATTAACGTTTCAGCTGGTGCATACGACGGATTCGGTTGACGAAAAACGACTTCTAATTTGCATTTGGGTAAGTAGTAATTTGAGTACGTTCTGCATGATCGATACAACATTTTAACGGATGATTTTCCCCAGTTTCGTTTTACCGCGCGGTCTTTATTCACCTATTCGTCTCGTTAGCTTTTCGCATAAACACCACCGAGTTACTTATGAAACTCAAATTGAATTCATTGCCGCGGGGTGGTTTCTTTGTGTGCTCGAATTCATTACGCACATTGGTGCATTCGTTGGGCTGATTGTTCAAAGCGATTATGAATATTTATACGCGAACCACCGTTGCCACGTACACGCGCCCTTGTAATGCACCCCTAACCACAAGATGGAGAACTCCGTGAGCTTTTTTCACCGCGACCAACGCAAATCTACTTTCGTGCAAACGGTTTCAGCACACCGGCAAACGCGTCAATATTCCACTCGGCGCAACGTATCTTTCACGGCAAAAGATGTAACGACTGCTTATGTGCCGATCCATCCATCATGAACGAGTGTGTGTGCCCGCGCGCGCCAGTACATTTGTAACTTTTAGAAAGTTTAAGCTTTTCGGTTTTTGTCCGTTTAACAAAAATGTACACTACACTTACCTGTACGCGTTCGTTGCAATAGTTCAATATAAACCAACCACGTAACTCGCGTGAGTTCAAACCCCGAAAGTTTTGTTGTTTTAACATCCGAAAGCATAAGCAGTGTAATGCGTTCGAAATCGCTTCCAAATCAAACTGGGAAAACAACCTGCGTTCTCCGGTTCAAACCGACCGGTGCAAACATTCGTTATAAATATTGTATAAACACTTGCAACACCACTGTAGGGTCAGTAACTACTAATAATTAATAACGAGACGCGTTATTAAATTAAAGTGTATTTTCCAAAGCAAACATCAATAGTTACGACGAAACGTGGTATATTTTCTACAACAAAGATATTGTTTCGGTATCAAACTAAAATAATTAAATAACCCTCGGGAAGCAGCGGGTCGCGTATATAATAGTGCGTAGCAGGGATACTACAATATCAAAGTGTAAACGTAAAGTAGAAAGGTATATAAACACCAAAGTCTACTTTATAACTCAAAATGTCACATTAATATTCTGTGAGCGATAGTAAATAAAACTGAGTATACATAATTATGCGATTTAACAACATACGTTTTTATTATTTTCAATAGCCTTTCCTCGTACATAAAAATAATACGCTTGGTACTGACTTAATTCGACTTCTCAAATTCAAAATATAAATAATAATATAAACATAAATTCATGTGAAATTGTTTTGCGATTGAATTTTTTTTTTTTCATGATGAAACAGTGTTTCTAATATTTTAAAATAAACTATATATCCTGTAGTAGATACAATTGTTAATAATATTGCCGATTGCTGTAATATCCATAGGTTATTTATACTAATTTATCATACGTGCTTATATACTTATGACTTATGCATACCAATAATCAAATGCAACCATCATTAAATTGTTTATTCGACGATTTATAAAAATTAAAAAAGGTTTTAAATTCTCGAAATCAAATATTTTACAACTCGTACAACGATGGGTTATAATTTTTATTTTCCTTAAACATTCACTATTACCTATCAATTTTATATTATTATTATTAGCATTGTCGAATAGGATATTTTTTTAGTTGCGATCAAGCTAATATACGTGTTTTACAAATATTACATAGTTTTCTGCACTCGAGAATACTAACCCAACTTAATATAACTAGTTATAAACAACAGGTCCGTCCGACATATCATACAACGAACTATTTGCACTTGCGAGTGCAAATAAAAACCACCCAAAGTAAACAAAAAATGTTTAAAAAAACATCAAAATGAATGTTCAAAAACATCAAAGTGAAATTTGATTTTAATCAAATTACAATATTACTGTACAAACCATATAAAATGTGCACGACGTGATTTGACTAAATATAAGAGTTTGTAGGCGTAGGTAAATGAATCTTAAATAATTTTTGGTCTTCTTTGATTTTTTAATTAAAATGTCAAGGATGATGTGCTAGGGAAAGAAGTGGGCGAGTAGGCATTGATGAATATATTGTGCATAATAGTTAATAAATGTTTACCATGCCACTGACTGCAATACGAACGTACGTATAACCAGTGGCGCAATTAGGGGGTAATTCCCCGTGTTCGCACCCCCCTTTAACCGTGTCGTATTTTTTTAAAATGATAATGTTTAGCAAAATTGAATAATTGTTTTAAAAAATTCCACATCAGAAAGAAAACGCGATGGATTAGTTATTCTCAATGTCCACTACGAAGTTAGTGTAACACCTGAAGAAGTAATACAACATTTAAGCTATACAAAACATAGCTTAGATTTCAATTTATAATGTTGTACATACCTTTAACCTTTTTTTTTACATAAAATATTTAATTATCATTCATTATTCATTATAACTACAATATTTAAATTAATCAAACTATAAAATAATAATCAAATTTGCTAGCTACTTTAAAATAATTATATTTTTGGACCCTCTCCTTAAAAAAAATCCTGGTTGCGCCACTGCGTATAATAAATGTGCAAATGGCGTACGCGTGAGTGTAAAACGTACCGAGAGCCGAACGGATATCGCGTGGGCCAGCTGTATACGCGTGTACGTTCATTCATAACCGGTCCCTTCCGGAATGTTAAGCTAATGGGATTTAAGTGCACGTTCGGCGTTCGATTTCGAACCGCCGCAGAACGGCCGGCGGAGATTGATAGTTCGCGACGTTTGCCGTGCATCCTTTCCTCATCCTCTCGCAGCGACGGTGATTGATAAACCGACGACCGATCGTGAATGACGATCATGCGAGTATCGTGTACCCGGGGCCCTCATGTTATTAACTAACCTGTGACGAGCGGTAGCGGCTCGCAGTAAATATTCCGGGAGACTTAAATAAACTCCGTACAACAACGAACAAGAAAAACCCTTTTATCAAAAAATTAATTATACTCTTAATAATTAATTTGATGTTTAGTTAATATTTTTAACTTAATTTAATGGTAATTTCTTTTCTTTTTATAAACTAATTCAATTCCGCAATTTTTTTTTTTTTTTGTCTGCGAATTCGCAGATGAGACGGTGCACAGCGACTAACGATGGCGAGGAAATTATTGTCCTAAACCTAGTTTCGATAGCGTCTACAATCGTGGATTATTTTCCCCGGCCCTCTTCGTCCAACAAACCAGACCGTCGTCAAAATTACTAAAATAGTGTTTCCGTCGAAATAACTATTTATAGGTTTTATATTTTGTAACCTTAAATTTATAATAATAAATATAGAAAACACTATAACATACGAGTATTTTCAATAAAAATGTGTTTATACATTTTTAAATACTTATTATTTTCAAGTAGCTGGTTTTTTTTTAAGGGGGACGTAGTTTCAGTCTCCCCTTACGAGCCGCCCCTGGTGACGAGGTACACATGAGCCGTATTCAGACATCGCGTTCAAGTATTATAACGGTAATATGTCGTGTCTGTACGACTGAAATCGATGATGTTTTCGACGTTTTCGGGTATCAAGGCGCGAAACGTGAAAAATTAGTATCAAACCATGTTTGCGCATTGCCTACGGGGACATTACTGTTCACGTTTGTATGCACAAAAAACGCGCGTGAAAAACGGAGACAAGGAACTCGGATATACTCGTGGCCGTATTCATAGCGGTAAGATGACTTTTCAGGGATTACTCCACCCATCAGCCAAATACCATCTCAACAACAAAAATTTTTACGTTTATGATTCACATGGTGTGGAATCGATCGTCGTACAATAATTTTCATTGATCATTTTTTTTTTTTTTTTTGTTGGCCCCAACTTAATTTGTTGACGATTTATCTAATTTTAATAGAAATTGACACATTAAAATAAGCACAACAATAAATTAAAAAGTGATAGTATCATAATCGAAATCTATGATTTTTATCGCAAGTGGAAGAAGTGGAAAATGTTTGTTCAAAATAAAACGAATATAAATACTTAACAAATTTTAAATTCCTAAATTTAGCACTTGCCATCTATGGATCTTCAACTTCATGCATGAGAGTTTTTTCCACAATTAAAAGATAAATAACACATTAAATATTAACACATATTTTATATGGATCAATAACGAACCAAAATAGATTCATGTATCATACAACAATATTAGATGCTATTTTTGGGGTGGTAAGCCACACATTTTTAACTTTTTTTTTTCATTTTTTTATGAATTCATTCTTGTTCCATGATTTATAATATTATTATTTTTTTTTACTAATTGCTAATCTTTTTTAATGACAGTTTTGTTTTAACTGAATTAAAAAAAAAATCATATCGTATGTACGAAAAAAAGCGACGACCACGGAAAATGTGCTTTTAGGTGATTAGATTCTCGTACCGATGAAATGTACAGACTTTTTTTTTCTTTCTAATTTGATAAATTGTACACAAAATTATTTTATTTTTATTTTTAACGTACCCGTGCTTCAGCACAGTTAATTGCTAATAGTGAATAACAACGATACGCATTGGAAAAACGCCAAAGTAATAATATTTTATTTTACGTTTTAATATACTACGAATAGAAAACAAGAACAACACAAATAGCTAGTACCATTTAATTTATTCATATACATTGCATGTAATTTATCCTGAATTGGTATGATAATAGATGGAAAAATTTTAATCTACGGGTATAATAAATTGTTCAATATTATTGATTTGTTTTCAATCAGATACAGACGTTACATTACGCCGCTCGATAATTGTACAAACAGTTATGTGTATTTTAGGTTGTTTATGCACTGATCACTTAATTATTAAATTACGATTGTGATCTGCCGCATATATAATATTGACTTGTTTAAATTTTATCCCAACAAAAACACTCCGTCAACTCCGTGTAAAAAAACGCTAAGTAAAAAAAAAAAATGCTATAAAATGTGTGATATAAGGTGGAATCTAAGTAAATGGTCTAACGTGAAAAATGTACATATCAGTAATTAATTCAAAATTAAT